GCGCCCCGCCCCGCCCCGCCTCGTCCCGCTGCTGCGCACGGCCCGCGGGCGCGCAAGGCAGCCTGGGACTTGTAGTCCCGCGGTCACACGGCCGGAGCGGGCGGGAAGCTCGCGCTCGGCGCACCTGCATCCCAAGGCCCGCAGTACCTGTCCGGGACGCCCTTCCGGGAGGGACGCGAGGAACCCGCCACAGACGGCGGGCGGCCCAGCAGCGGCCACGACCTTGCGAAACTGGCCGTCGCCCGAAAGAGGAAGCGCGAGGAAGGACGGGACCGAGCCAGCCGCAACCACGTGGGCCCAAGGCCAGGGTGCTGAGCAAAATACGCCGGAGGAAGACGCAGACCGCACGATTTCACCTGTGCGTGGAGGTCTTCAATGTGAGGAGAAAGTGGACCTTAGCAGAGGGCAGGTGGGGCGACGGGAGGTCGGGGCCTGCAGAGGCCCGCGAAGCAGGTGCAGCGGGGGGAGCGGGACCTGCTGGGCAGCGACCCTGCCGACCGCTGCGTCAGACACCTGGAATTGATGTGACACCACGTGTCGACTACACATGCACGGAAGGAAAGAAGGTTCTAGCTCTGTTTCTGCAAGGTCCAAATCAAAGCAGATAGCCCCCGCCGTCCTTCTGCCTGTTCTTACACAGACTCGTGAAAGCGGGAAAGCTTAGCTTTCTGGGAGGGACAGGGCACCACAGGAGTCTGCCAACTTCAGACACGCAGGAAGAGTGAGCTCCCACCCGCCCAGCCAGCCAGCCACACACGGGCCCTGCCTCTGCTGCCCCTCGGACACCCCCTCCCCGTGGCCATCAGCCGTCCCTCCGGTGGCCACGCGAGGGTGCCCCCACCTTCGTGTCCTGGTGCTCTTTGAGCACCAAACACGCGGTGTGGAGGGTGGGCTCTGGAGCCAGGTGGATGGGATTTGTCTCCGAGCTCTGCCACGCACCACAGCTGTGACCTTGGGCAGGTTATTTGACCTCTCTGAGCCTCAGCCTCTTCATCCGTGGAATGGGGATCATACCACTCATGCCATTGTTCTCGTGAGGCTTCCAGGAGCAGTGCTCATGAACGTGCTCGGCGGCACTCGGTCCTTACCAGTCCCGTACAGTTAACACAGTTACCCTCCTCAGCCGGCAGCTTCTGAGAGGGGCGATCCAGCGGTGGACCAGCCCCCACCCAGGGGAGGCCTGAGAGCGCCTGCAGGAGTGGGGTGGGTCTCTCTCCTGCAGGAGAGAGGGAACTGAGGTCGATTTGGGCCTCGCCCTGTGGGTGACAGGGGCAGTGACTAATGGGCTTGCAGGGTGAGGCAGCCAGGGTGGGATATGACCGGGAAATCCCGTGGAAAGGGGAACAGCTGGGAGCACTGGATACGTGTAGCCAAAGCTCTGTGCCAGATGCGCACAGGAGGCCAGGGAGGAGCAGGGGACAGCCCACTGTCCTCAGCTCTGTCAGCCAGTTGTTCAAAAGTGGGGGTGGCTGAGGCCTGTGGTCCCAGAGGACAGAACTGAGCCCGGGTCCACCTTGCAGAGACCGAGATCTGCTAAGTGTCAGGAAGGCACAGGCCTGAGCCCCCAGCCTGGGCAGACGGGACTGGACAAAGGACCACTACCGTCCCTGTCCCTCCGTGGCTGATGTCTGTGCTTCTCGACAGACAAGCTGGGGCCGCAGCCTGACCCTCCTGCACCGGAGCTGGCTCTCTGTCCCCCGCCACCCCTGGCAGAGGAGGAGGCTGCCTCTGCCACCGTCTTCCTTGGGCCGGGGCCACACCCCACATCCTATCCAACACGTTAAAATGCCCCAAATCCTACGGTAAACATTGCTCTAAAAATGTTTGAAGGCATTTCTAGAATTATGATCCTGATATTATCTGACTGTGAGGAATTCATTTTAATTTGTTTGGCCGACAGTTTCTTGGCAATCATCATGTCTGTGTGGGCACCCTGGCCGAGTGAGAGAAACCCAGCCTACGCATTGTTTTCAAAGGGACTGACATTTCTTTTTAAAGTTTATTTATTTTTAAGTGACCTGTACGCCCAACGTGGGGCTCAAACTCACGACCCCAAGGTCAAGAGTCGCACGCTCTGCTGACTGAGCCAGGCGGGCGCCCCGAAAAGGAGTGACGTTTTTATGATTACTATGACATTGACATAATGTTACACTTGACATCTCATTAAATGCGTATTAATGTAGATTTTGCTTTTTCTCAGGCTTTGGAGCCCGAGTATATCTGTCTTACAGACACCTCGTCGGCCCCTTGAGAGCTGGCAGAGCCAGGGCGCTGGGCCTACAGAAGCTAAGGAACAGACTGCCCTGGCCAGGCCCAGAATGTGGCCCTCTGAGGAGGCTGCTCAGCCGCAGGCCCTGAGACCCCAGTGAGCCGGACAAAGTGGCCACAACCTGTCATCCAAGTCCCTGTCCCCCAGCCCCGCCAAGTAGAAGGGGCCTGAGCCTCCAGGACAGACCCCGCCCCCGTCCCGACCCCCCAGACCTCTCCCAGGCCCCCAGCCCTGCCCACTCCCTCAAGGCCAGTCCAGGCCGCTGGCTTTCCAGGAACAAACCCTGCATTGTGTCATGCCTGGGTCCCGAGGGCCATGCCCTCAAGGGGCTACAGGATGGCGCTTTATCTCGTCCCATGCCGCCCCTCCCCCACCCTCCGTTGGACAAGTTTAGTCGATTATGTAAAATGCTGAACAAATGCAGCTTCAGTTCCTTTCCAGCCAGACCCCCAGCTCAGGGCCTTCCTACACCGGAACTCTGCTGGCTCCTGCGTCCTCTCTCGTGGCCCTTCCTCCATGGCTCATGGACACCCTGCTGGTCCCCGAGTCTCCGAGCTGAATGTCCGCGTCCCGTGGTCAGGGGCCAGTTTTACGCAGCCTGTGTACCACCGCCCCCCGTGTCTAGGACAGGCCTGCTTGGGGCTACAGGGTCTGCCCCCTCTAGCCTCTTGGAGCCCAGTGACCAGAAGGAAGTGGCCAACCCGGGAGGAAGTGGCTACTGTTTACCCGAAAGGGGAAATTTGGGCAGTGAGCTTGCTCCCCACGTGGCCAGCCTCCGGGCAAGCCCCAGGGACACAGAGCCAGTGACTCATCCTGGGCCAGTTTCCCCCAAGAGGGATGGGGTGAGAGGCCCGGCCACGCACAGCCTCTACCCGTCTCAGACCCCAGGGGGACGAGCTCGCCGGGTCGCCATCCTGACGAAGGAGGACCCCGCAGTCGAGCGGGGACTCCAGAGAGGAGGCACCTCACCACCTGCTGTGCCGCGTGTCCTCACACGTCTGTGCCCTCTCTGGGCTGCCGTTTCCCGCCTGTACGGCAAGGGGATGGGCGGCCAGGTGAGGCCCAGCTGTAAGGCCTGTGGGCCTTCTTCCTGCAGCTCCTGGGGTCAGTGGAGACTCCTCTTTCCAGCCTCTTCAGTCTTTCAAGCATTACAGGCAACCGATCCCTCCCTTCGGGACTCTCTTCCATCCTGGGCTCTATGGTCAGTGCAAGCATTCCCCCTGGGGGGGGTCACACGTCTGTGTCTTCCCTGGGTCCTGCTGGGAGGCGGCCCTAACCACAGCCTGCCCCCCCGCCCCCTGGCCAGATGGCACGATGGAGCCCTCCTGTGCGTGAGGCAGAGAGCACAGGATCCGGAGGTCAGGGACACGGGGATCTTGGGAGGGCCTTGCTAACCCCAGAGCACGTGAGGAGGAAGTTGGCCTGGACGGAAGGGGGTTGGAGTTCAGGGTGCGGTGCCGGAGAGGGAATGGGGAGCCAGGCTGACGTCAGAGCCGAGGCTGCGATGCCCAGTGAGCCGCCCCACGGGGAGGCCCCACCACCAGCTGCAGGGGAGGGCCCTCGACGCGCATGTCCACACAGCCCTGCACCTCGCCTCCTGCCCTGACAGGGTCGTGGGAGGGGGCCAAAGGAAGAGAGGGGCTGTGTGACTCTGGGCTCTGTGCCGCTGAGTCTCAGGAGGGCCTAGGCCTGCCCCCCGCTGCAGGAAGCGGCCTGGGCGGGCGAGGAAGCTGCAGAGACAGGAGCACCCCACCCCACCCCCACCCCCACAGGCCCTCACGGCCTGGATTTGCAGACTGGCTTCCAGAAAGCCTCATTTCCCTACCAAATGTGCAGGCAAATCTCCACACCTTGTGGTTGCCTTTCCTAGAGGGAGGTCACTTGAGGTGACCTCCCAGCCCCGGGGTCCAGGGCTCCAGGGTTTGGACAGGCAGAGGCTGCCCCAGGGAACTAATGGAGGACAGAGGATGGGCAGGGCTGGGTGCCAGGCAGGTGAGGCCTGCACAGGAGTTTGGGGGAGCCCCAGGGCCCAGGGAGCGGGTGAGGCCTGGGCCCCGGGGCAGGCAGCCGGACACTGGGCCCAGTACACCAGCCCACCTGCCTCAAAAGGAGCCTAAGAGGTGCTGATGCAGGCCGAGCAATGAGGGGAGCAGAGCTGGAGGGGGGGAAGACCCCCCGAAGGAGGGGTCAGGATGTGAGGACACTCAGCAAGAGAACTCCTTTGCTCCCCTCCTTTGCTCCTTTTGAGACCCCCTCACCCAGCCAGGATGCTGCCCCAACTCTGCCATTAGCGCAGCCCCTCTCCACGCGGTTGAAACACCCCCAGCTCCCAGACGGGCCTCACAGGGGAGCTGCCCAGGGGCAGGAACCTGAGGGCAGGGGGCCCGGAGAGGGGAGCCCTCAAGGCAGGTGGGCTGCTGTACTGGGCACAGTGCCCGGCTGAGAAACAGCACGGGGAACGGGAAGGACCCAGGGCCTCTGCAGCTGCCCCGGGGCCCAGGCCTCACCCGCTCCCTGGGCCCTGGGGCTCCCCCGAACTCCTGTGCAGGCCTCAACTGCCTGGCACCCAGCCCTGGCCCCATATGGAGTCTGTTTTGGAGTTTCTTTTGTATTTTGAAGTTTGAATATATGGCTAAATAGCTACTAAGTTTGATTCGGTGCGTTTGGAAGCTAGGTACAGAATTTGCGTGGTCTGAGGCGGGCCGGGCCTTTTCCAGTCCTGAGTCTGGTTCCCTTCTCTGCGGTGGGGACAAACGGGCGCAGTCACACCACTGTACCTGGGACAAGGATGAAAGGAAATGGGGTGTATTTGAAGTGCCCGGTGCATCATCGCGGACCTGCCGTGGTCGGCTCCATGCTCCTAGCTGTGGGGGGTGGAGGGCACCCTGGGGCCTCCGTGCAGGCGGTCGGGTGTGCCAGGCCCGGGGCAGCCATCTGGCCTCCGAGAAGCTGTAGAACAGGGTTCTTAACATACAGTCTTTGACCCGGATCTTTCCAGTGCGCCGGAAACTGACCTCTCCATGGCTGCCCGTCCTTCGGGCCTCACGAGCATATGGCCTGCAACGCTGCGGGTTTTCACTTTTGCCTGGATTCAGAACTAGTCACTGCTGAGGCCAGATAATCTATGGAGAAGTTCACTTCTTGACACTAAGACTGAGAGGTGGCGGACGGGGAGGCCCGCTGGTCTGATAGGTGGTTTCCCTTTCCTCCGCGGTGCTCAGGAGCCCACAGGCCCCACGCACGGGTGCTCCGTGGCGCAGGTGGGGCTGGCGGTGTTTTTAAGACCATGACAGGTCCAAGACACTCTTTGGAGACCCCATTTCACTTCATATCGAATATATATAATTCTGAAATGACAGTCCCATTTTACATTATTAAAAAATGTGTGCATATATATACACTTTTTTGCTTTGAACTTTTGGGAAAATATTATTTTTATGATTTTGCTTTGGAATGATTTGGCTTTGAGAATTCATTTAATTGGCGGTTGGTGATAATTTCTTGGCAGTTTTCCTGCGACCCTCGGGGGTCCTGGGGGTGGGGAACCATCTGACCTCCAAACCGTTTTCAGATGTGATGAATCTTTTATGAATGCTCAGTAAAGTTGATGCAATATTCCATTGTATAGACATTTGCGTACGCACTCTTTCATAGTGATTTTATAGTTTTCTCTTTTTGGATTTTGGAGCCAACACTCATGTGAGTTGGGGGGTGTTTCCTTGCTCGGGTCCAACCCATTTTTACAGGCCCTCATCGAGTTCCCAGGACCTGGCCATTGTCCTGTGGCTACAACAGACCTGTGTGCATGGGGTGGGGGGGTGGGGGCCCTGAGGGCATCTCCCGGGAGCCCCCCTCCACCCCAGCAGCTATGCAGAAACAAACTTGCTCAGCAGCACTGAGGGGCCGAGACAATCATAGTGAAACTGGTGACCTCTCCTGACCAGTGTCAGCCCCTCCCCTGGTTTTTCGTGCAAACGGGAGGCCCCAAAATGACTGAGCTTGAAAATATTGCCCATCCATCTAACTACTCCTCCAATATTTACTGAGCGCAAATGGATACAACCCCGAAAGAAGGCAATTTGGCAACATCTATCAAAACCACAGATGCAAGCACCCTTTGAGTGCAGGGGTCCCACTTGGGGGACCACTGTGGGTGTTCTCACGCTTGTGCATGGTCGAGTGCGTATTTCCACGTTGTTGGAAATAGGGGACCATTAGGAACGACTCAGGTGACCTCCCGCGGGGGGCTGGTCACAAAGTCAATGGTGCAGCCACGGCGGGAATGTACCTTTGCCACGGCCCGCACGGCGCCCTGGGCGTCCTCCTACGGGCAGAGCTCCAGGATGGATTGTTTTATAAAGCGAAACACTGTACAAGTACAGTATAGTATTCCGCCCTTGGAATAATTACCTAAATAAGTAAATAATTTAAGTTAAATTAAATGTGCCTGTTGAGCCTCTAATGGTACCAAGCCCTGTCCTAGGCACAGGACCGAGTAGAGATTGAAGCAGACGACTTGAGAGAAAAGAAGTCGGCTTGCTCGTTCTCCAGGGAGCAAACCCACGCCCATAACAGAACGACCAAGGGTGTGAAAACATCATGTCCACAAACAACGACAAGCACTAGAATTCGCTGAAGAGGCCATGTTGGCCTCCCGCTGCCACCGCATGGGTTCAGGAAAGGAGGCGCGGGGGGCTGGGGCCAGGTCCCCGGGCAGGGCGGCTGGACAGACCTCGGGGGTGGCCTCTAGGAGGGCAAGCCAGACTGGGCGCCCTCAGGCGGGACCCCCTGTGGAATGGCCCGCCGCCCGGAGTGGGTCACAGGAGGAGCATGACTTTGGGAGGAGAACCCAGCACGAGGAGGTGTCGATCCGACAGACGCACTTGGCTTTGGAAGACTCCCCAGCCGCTGGGGACCTGGAGTGGGGGCTGAGGTTTCTTGCAGCCGCCCAACCACCTGCATGGGCTTCTGATGCCCCAAACCCTGCCAGGGCGGTTTCTCCCCTCCGTTTGTATAGACGAGGGCACTGAGAGATGGTGAGGTTTAGGACCTACCGCAGAGCCAGCCAACGGGGGCCAGGGCGCCCGGGGGAGGGGAATTGAAGGGGCACGGCCACACCAGTGTCCCCCCAGATGACCACGGTGGGGACTGAGCAGCGGGGTGGGCGGCGCCGTTGGGGACCACCCACCCATAGGAGACCCTGGGCCTTGCCCACCCGTTCTCTGAGCTCAGACACAGACTCCGGGCTGTTTGCCCCACCGGGGATCCTCAGCCTGGCCCTCTAGCACAAAACGCCTTTGTCTTCCTATGCAAATGACCAGGTTCTGCCCAGGGAGAGTAGTGCCTAAAAGGGAGGTAGGGAGAGAATGCCTCATGGAAAATCATAAAAACACATTTCTTTGCATTTGAATATGTGTAGGACCTCAGTTTGGCAGCAGACCGACTCTGCATCGGATCCCAGCTTCCCCAGCTCCCCCTCTGGGGTCTGGTGATGCCCACGGACTTCTCGGAATTGCCCACAATAAAATACACGGCGGTCCGGTGGAGATCACTGGAATAGGGCTCTCAAAATACTAGTGTTGTAGGAATACGGTGCGTGTCTTTATTAGCTCCACCGAATTCTGGGTGGTTCTCCCGAATGTCTAACAAAGACCCACCCCATCCCTCTGCAGGAGAGCAGCATCTCTTCTCCCCGGGCACCTGCCTGCTCCAGTCTGGCCTCCTGGGCCAGACCCCCCCTCGACCCCTAACCCCTGACCTCACCCCTGTCTAAGTGACGGGAGCCACGCCCTCTTCTCCCTCCCCCTTGACACCATGTTCTGTACATGGACTTATCAATCGTCTGTGTTCGTGATTCCCACAGCCCAGGGCACAGAGCACACAGTAGACACTCAATCCATCTGGAGTGGAAGGAGATTAATCAGCACAGAACTTCACCAAAATACAAGTGGCGTCCACGAGGACAAATAGAATTTAACCCCATTGCTTTGCTAATGGCAGCTGGGCTGAGGACCTTAGCCAGGGCCTGGTCTCTAGCCGTGGCAGAGGCTGGGGGTTAGGGGAAAGGGGCCTGGAAGTCCGAGGTCTCCTGCCCTATCCAGCACCCCCCCAACCTGGCTGCTAATAGGATGCTCCCTCCAGTGTCTCCAGCCACACAAGGTGTCCGCCCCAGAGTCAGGAAGGAGAGGTGACAATAGGGCTTCTGTGGGCTTGGCGGTTGGGGGGCGGGGAGAGCGGGCACGGACTCAGTCAAATGAGCCGGGTGCACGCAGATATAGAGGCGTGTGGGTGGTCTGCCCTCTGCTTCCATTTAGGGCTGGCCGGAATGGAGGGCAGCCTGCAGCCGCTCAGCCTGCGGAGGGGGCCCGAGGAGGCGGGGGACAGCCAGGCCCTCGCCAAGCTGCGGGAGTTGGCCCTGACGTGGTTCATGGAGACACAGGCACCCCTCATCCTGCAGGACGGAGCCCTGCCCCCCTGGTTTCACGGATTCATTACTCGCAAGTAAGGCTGCCCCATCCACGTGCCCCACGGGGGCCCTGGGGGCCGAGAGAATGGTCTGGGGACCCCGGCAGAAGACTGGCCCCTGCTGCCTCCCTGGGCTAGGCAGGGAGCAGATTGAGGGGCGCCTCGTTCTCTGGTGGCCAGTGGGCAGGCTGGGCGAGTGCACCGGCCCCCACTCTGAGCAAAGGTCTAGAAGAGAGACGGGGGCAGGAGCAGGTCCGTTGGGACCCACCCAAGAACCGGATGAACGACCGGAGGGCCATCTCCTCTGTCGTCCAAACTGGACACTATTCATGGGGGTGGTGAGAGAGCTGCTTTGAGTGGGGATCGTCCTGGGCCGGCTTGGACGTGCACTATCCAGCGATAGAGGCTGCGATGTGGGGGCTGGCGTTCGGATGGCGCTGGACCTGCGAGCGGCCAGAGCACGAGACGAAGGAGCAGGACATCCAGCCCGGCGCTCCCGGCTCGGCACTGGCCTTCAACTGGCACTGGCCACGCTGTTTATGGCTCTGCTGTCCCCGTCTTGAAATCCTTACTTTTTGAGGGAGGGGCTCCGCACTTTCATGTAGTACTGGGCTGTGCAAAATCTGCCGTTGACCTTGCATGGAGCAGGCACTCAGTGAGTGCTCGGTGAGCTAGTGGTGCCAAACCAGAAGAGAGCTGGGATTTTCCTCCATGTCTCCAAAATACTTGGCACCGTTCAGAAATATCCATAGCTGCCTTGGGCTGGAAGGGACATGTAGGGGAGATGAGAGCCTAGGAGTTGCTCTTGTGATCAGGCTCCAGACAAAGCATCACCTCCTCCCGGTAGAAACTCTTGTGCAGTGCACAGCCTGCACAACTGTACAGTGGTGGTCCTGAGGCAGGGACCTCCCCAAACCTAAAAATCTCTGGCTATAGGGATTCATTCTTATTACAGAGACGTTCAGGTGGAGAGTGGGTGCCCAGGGTCAGTGGCTATTGTGCGTGCCGGTGAGCTGCAGTGGAGGGTTGTGCATGTGGAGCCTCAGGACTCAGACCCAGCCCAAGACTGAGTCCCGAGTTTGCCGGACTGAGTGCACACAGACCACAGTCGGAGCCGCGGGTCTGAGAGAGTCCCCTGTGGAGGGCTGCAGATCCGTGCGCTGGGCCTGGCCCCCAAGGGCGCGGCCCGCAGGGACTCTGAGGCAGGTCGGAGTCGGCCCACTCCTGCTGCCACGTGGGCACAGGCCCCCCGCTAATTGCATGTCTTCTGCCCAGGCAGACGGAGCAGCTGCTTGGGGACAAAGCTCCTGGCTCCTTCCTCATCCGCCTCAGCGACCGGGCCACCGGCTACATCTTGTCCTACAGGTAGGGGAGGAAGCCGTCTGTGAGGCCCCCGTAGCCGACCTCGCAGATGAGACAGGCGCCCCCGCAGCCCGAACGGCCTGGCTTTCCCTGGGCGCTGGCTCCCCCGCCCCACCTCCAACCATCACATGCTCAGCGCACGGTTCCGGAGCAGCACTGGCCACGGGACGCAGCCCCAGCCTTCAGAGGGGGTGGGCTGGGGGCACTGGGAGAGCTGCAAGAGGCTGGGGACAGCAGGTTCCTGGGGAGGCAGTGCCCGCACAGCAGTGCGGGGCAATGTCTGTAGACCGGGGAGGGCCGTTTGGCCAGGGTCCTTCAAGCAGGCTGTGGACGGAGGACCTAAAGACAGAGGCAGGACGTGTGAGGCCCGTGGGGACCCGTGAAATGGGGAGGCTACGGTACAGGACGGGGGGAGGTCGGCCAGGATGAAGCCGAGGTGGTGACGTCAGGGCTGGGCTGGAGAGGAGGCTGGGTTGGGGAAGGCGGAGGAAGGGAGAAGCCCCCTTCCCGTCAGGGGGTGAGGCCAGGGCTCCCAGGCAAACCTCAGAGGACTCAGATCAGATGCAAAGTTACCTCCTGCTCAGACCACCCCTGTTCAAGTCCTGGCCTTGAGCATGGGCTTCCCTGTGCCTCTGTGACTTCATCTGTAGGATTGGGAACATCATAGTACCGACGTTGTAGGATTGCTGAGTGGGTTGGATGGCTTTATACATTGAAAAATGCTTGGCACAGTGGCTGGAACATGGTAAGGACCAAATAAACGTCAGTCACTATTAAAATGGTCGTTGTTATTCTATGTGCCAGGTACTCTGCTAAGCACTTTGAAATATGTGAGCTCAGCAGCTTCCAAATGTCTTTTTAGTGTGAGGGCCCTTTTTCCCAAACATGGTCTTAGGTGGAATGCCAACTTATAAAATTGCTCAGAGGTACATGGTGGGTAGATGGACCCGTGGAGCACCATGGGGCCCAGACACAGCCCCACACACGTGCTCACCTGCTTCACAGCAGTTCCGTGCTGAAAGGCAGGTCTTTCCAGTAAGGGGTGTGGGAGCAATCGGATATCCAGATGGAAAACAATGACCCCCACCTCACATCATACAGAAAAAACGAACTAATTCTAGAAGGATCATAGACACGAGTGAGAAAAGCAAAGCAGGACATTTCTAAAAGAAAACAGGAAAAATTTTCAAGGCTTCGAGAAAGACGAAGATTTCTTTTTTTAAAAATTTTTTATTGTTATGTTAATCACCATACATCATTACATCATTAGTTTTTGATGCAGTGTTCCATGATTCATTGTTTGTGCATAACACCCAGTGCTCCACGCAGAACGTGCCCTCTTTAATACCCATCACCAGGCTAACCCATCCCCCCACCCCCTGCCCTCTAGAACCCTCAGTTTGTTTTTCAGAGTCCATCGTCTCTCATGGTTAAGATGAAGATTTCTTAAGACACAAACCTACTAACCATAAAAGAGAAGGTGGATACACTGGATTTCTTTAAAATTAAGACTTTTTGTTAATCAAAAGATACCAGTGAGTGAATAAAAGGACAAACCAGAGTCTTGGGAGACGTTCTGTATTACATGTATCTAAGAAAGGGCTCCTGCCAGAATATACGAAGAGCTCCCGCAAATCACTAAGACAGAGACAACACGATCAATAAAGGGCAAAGACTCGAACAGCCACTTCATAAAAGGATCCGACCAAAGGGCAACAATATTTTGGCGTTCAGCAGCATTAGTAATTGGGGAAATACAAATGCAACCCGCAATAAGTGGCGAGAGTTGGGAAACAGAGGATATACCGAGAAGTTGGTGGGGATGTGGGGACACCTGGAAGGCTCCTACCTCACAACGATTTCAGAAAACGATTCGCCAGAATCTACCGAGCTAAACAGAGGCGAACCCTGAGCCCCAGTGCTACTCCTAGTGTATTCTCAACAGAGATGTGCACGCCCGGTCGCCGCAAACGCGTAGTGGGATGTCCACTGGCAGCCTTTTTTCTGGCAGCCCAGATCTGGAAACGACCTAAACGTCCAGCAACAGAGGGGGCGAACCGTGGATGTCTTCCTTCAGTGGAATTCTACCCATCGGGGCCGGGGAGCTCACTGTGCGCGGACACGAATCAATCTCAAAGATGCGCTGAGGGAAGCCAGACACGGAACTGTGATTCCATTATGTGACGTCCCCAGCCGCACGGGGGCAGGCGGGAGTCTCCGAACCGCGCTCTGCTTTGCCTGGGGGGGTGGCTCCCCGGAGGGCGCCTCTGCGGGACTCCGTCCCTGCCCGCACGCACACTCGGGCCGGCGCTTCGCTGCAGAAAGGTTGTTCGTCTGTCAAGGACAGGACCCGGGGAGGGCAGGGGTTTACCCGCGGACTGGGGGCGGGGCTGGAACTCCAGGCGTTTAGGGTGGGCCGAGGGGCGCTGAGTAAGTGCAGGGTTGGACCTCCTTTTGGTTTAAGATTTTGGTATTTTGTTCATCAGGGACATTTGGGTAATTGATTTTGATTTTCTAAAATACTGCTCTGCTGGTTATTTTCGTTGCCGAGTTTCGTGGTGCCCCTCCGAATTTGGCGGCCCCGCTGGGTGCCTCCCTCGCCCCACTGGGGCAGGCTTAGGGACTTCCCTGGGACGGGGTCGGGTGGGACTTGAAAGCCACTCCCGGGCTCCTGACCCCGCGCAAGGCTGAGCTGTGCAGGGCTGGGCTAGGGAGCTTCAGGCCCCGTTAGAGAGGAACACCCCGAGCAGGGCTGCGCCGGCGGGCAAGCTGGACCACCCACGGCCACACTGGCTTGTGTTGTAGGGGCAGTGACCGCTGTCGGCACTTTGTCATCAACCAGCAGCAGGACCGGCGCTACCTGGTCTCGGGAGACACCTGCAGCCACGGCACCCTGGCTGACCTCGTGCGCCATTACCAGGTGGTGCAGTTTGAGCCCTTTGGGGAGATCCTGTCTACTGCCTGCCCCCGGGTAGGTACCCCTGTTCTCCCGTGTGCGGGGGTGGGGCAGGGTGCCCAGGCCTCTCCGGCACACGACTGCCATCCAGGCACTCAGTGCGGGGTCACGGTCCCTATTTGAAGAGGGGAGACTGAGGCAGCATGTGTCGGCCCTTCCCTGGGGTCGGGGACCTGGGGGGGCGTGTGTCGCTCCCTGGCCGGCCGTCACTGGCAGGCTGTGGAGGCCAGAGTGGGGTGCATGACCACACACCCACTGTGCACCCACCCCCCCGCCCCCAGCCGGAGGACAACGATCTGTATGATGCCATCACCCTGGGCCTCCAGCACACCAGTCTGGGCCTGGAAAATCCACCTGCCTCAGCATCCCCCATGGCGGCCCCAAACAAGGCTGCCAGCCCCTGGCCCCGCCTAAAGCCGCAGGTCCCCTTCCTCCACACCAAGAAGAGTCTGGGTGCGAGTTCCTGCAGCTTCTCTGAGGAGACGGTGAGCAGCATTCTGGGCCCCTCGGGTCAGGGCTGCACCAGGCTGCGGGGTGGGAGCACCAGGCCCAGAAAGGTGCGGGCTCACCCACCCCAGGGCCTGCGTCTGGCCAGCTGGGTATGCTCTAGACCCCGCTGGGCCCTTCTAGCCGTGTGCCTCAGTTTACCATTCCTACGGTTCCTCTGGGGCTTGAATGAGGACTTGGGTAAGAAATACCTGAAATTCCTCTAAACTTTGGGGGGGGGGAGGTGGTGCCTGTGAGTTGATATTTTCCGTCCACAGCACCTCCTGGGAGGGGCTCAGAGAGATTTTCCTCCTATACAGTAGATCACAGCAGGCCCGAGGCCTCTCCTCATGTTTAGAAACAACCTGAGGCCTTCCCCAGGGTCCACGGGGGGCCTCACCAGGGGCCCTGCTACCTCCCCTCTGCTCACTCTTCTCCAGCCTCACTGGCATCTTCCCAGAACACACCAACCTTGCTCCCACCCCAGGGCCTTTGCACTTGCTGTGTCTTTGCTGCAATGCTCTTCCTACCAGCTAGCGGCTTGTACTCCTTTCTCTGCTTGCGTGTCATCTCTCCAGAAGGGCCACCAAAAGGAAAGACCCCTCCCCACCTGTCATTCTGTCTGTCCCGTCGCCCTGCTTTGCTCCTCTTCATGGTACCGATCACCACCAGACCATTCACCATCTTGTGACATGCTATCGTGGGTCTGTAGGCACACGAAACCATGTAGCAGACTGGTCTGTTGCCCAGGTCCCAGGTTAGAAGGGAGACTTCCAGAGTTGGCCTTGCGGCCCACCGAGTCCTAGGCACGCAGGACGGTGTCTGGTACACAGCTGGTGCCCAGCAGACATTTAGGGAATTATACAAAAATGACAGCCTCAGGGGTGATGGCCTATTCTTAAGGGGGGCTGTGAGCGGGTGGGCTCGGGGGGCCCTGAGGGGCCAGTGGACCACTCTGGAGGGAAGACAGAACAGGATGAGCTTGGGTGGTGCCCGCTGGCCTCGAATGCCAAGGGCAGACTAGAGTCGGGGAGCGTGGGGCCTGGCAGGGACCCTCACACGTGACAGTGAGGTAAACGGAGCCAGGACAGGACTGCAGCGTGCTGAGAGCCTGCGTTTACCTGAGGAGCGATGGGGGAGGCTTCTGGAGGTTCTGCCTCTGTCTCCCCAGGTCCCCGTCAGGGTGCCTCCCCTCCCTGAGAGGAGCGCCTCCCTTCTGGACGAGTCCTTTGGAAGCTCCAGCAACAGCATCTACTCAGACCTGAGGAAAGTGAACCAGGCACGGCTGGGCCTGGGCGCAGAGGTGTCCGGCAGGCCCAGGCCAGCCCCATCTGGCAGCCAGCCCAGCTCCCCGGGCAAGGCGCCGGAGAGGACACTCTCGGCCGGAGGCCAGAACAAGCCTGATGGCCCGGGGCCTGCCGTCTCTGGGGTGAGCCCCGAGCAGGGTCCTACGGTGCCTCCCATGCCCTGGGGCCACCTCCTGCCCCCTGCTTCTGAGGCCCTGGGATCCTCGGCTGCCCCCTGGAGCCAGGCGTCTCCGAAGCTGAGCCACAGGGCTCAGCCCTGCTCCCAGGGCAGTTCTGCAGACACTTTTGAGTTCCTGCAGACAACAGGTCCCCCATCAGGGCCCAGGGACGTGCCAGACCAAGAAGGCAGTGCCTACGCGCAGGTCCCAGTGCGCTGGGGGGGCCCAGCCAGGCCCTTGGGTCCCGGGACCAGTCCTCCATCTAGCAAGCCACCAGGACCCACAGACTACGGCTATGAGAGGCTCTCAGGGGCCCAAGAGATCCCCAAGCCCAGGAACACCTATGAACAAACCCCAGCAGCCAGGAGCAAGGAGACTGGACGGACACACAAGGTGGGCTCCATGGTGGGCGGGGGTGGCCGCCGGTAGGAGGGATCAGTGGCCCTCATGCATGAGCAGGCCAGGTCACTGCTGCTGTCCTGAGGGGCCCAGAATTTTCCAGAAGTAACGTTATGCTTGGAGGTGGTGGGAGGGGTTGTTGCTCAGCTTGGATGTAAGGGGTGGGGGCTAGAAGCCCCTTCTGGGGGCTTTCTCTGCAGACCAGGTTTCTCTGCCCTGGCCACTGTGACAGGTGGACAAGGGGCCCTGGCTCCAGGCCGGACTTGCCTTGGCCCTCGTCATGGCTCAGCCACCCCCCAGTTTCCCTGGCAACAACTCTCCCCAAGAGTATGTCCCATATACTGCGATTACTCCTCATTTATCTGAAATTCAGATTTCACTGAGCATCCCGTATTCTCATTTAGCAACTGACCAGGACCTCCCTTTCTTCATCTCTAAGATTCTGCCCAAAGGGCAATGCTAAACATGCTCCCGTGCTAAGGAAACAGCCCAGAGACGGCCGAACAGAGCTGCCATTTCCGGGGGTTTCTGATAGGAGGGACGACAGGGGAAGTGGAGGTCAGGAGGGCAGAGGGAGGTGGTCAGGGGCTCCCACGGGGCCCAGGTACCCTCAGCCCCAGCACATTCTGCCTGCACCCTGAGCCAGTGAGCAGGGAGGGTCCAATTCTCCATGGGGACGTCCTCGGATCTCAGCACATGCAGACCCTCTCGAGGTCTGGGCAGTGAAACCCAGGTTCCCAGCTGAAAGGCCTTCCCGCACATCCTGGGACGGGGCGTTTACCCGGTGTGGTGCAGCCACTGAGGTCCTGACTCTCCTGGGACCAGAGGCCCCGCCTGGAGGCAGGCCCTCTCGGAACCCCGAAGCCACACGCCCTGGCTGCAAAGCCCCACATCCTCTCTGGTCCGACGCCGCCAGGAACCAGCGCACCCCCACCCGCCTAGGGCCCTGCTGCACCAGAGAGCCCTGGGAGCTAGGGAACCCTGGGGCCCTCCAGTGAAGGAAGGAGGGGCTGGGGCTTGCTTCTCCACCCCTTTGGAGACCCCCTCCTCCCCTTAGCCTTCTCAGAAGAGGCAGGTCCTTCATCCAGAACGGGGGAGGGGGGGTCCTGGACGTGGAACTTCTGGCATCATGAAGCTCGTGAACAACCAGCAATATTCCAAGCTGGCCTTTCCTGGACGTGGGCCCCAGCCTCCAACCAATGCTGGGCCTCTCTCTGTCCAGGGTCTCCAGGTTCCAGTATGTCCTCCCTCTTTGCAGCCTGACAAGCTCCGGAGGATCTTCTTCACTGACAAGAAGCACAAGTTCTGAGCACCGGGCTTCCTCCCAGCAGCTCACCGGTGGGCTTCCTGGGACCCGGCTATGCCCCCTCTGAAGGCACCCCTGCTGCTTCCCCAGTGCCCCTCACTCTCCCCCAGGGGGGTGGGGGGTCAGGGCTGGAGGGGCGGAGGACTGACCACAGGCAGGGTCAGCACCCCCATCCCCAAGATGAACTTCTGAGGCCTGGGCTTCCTGGCCACTTACGGAGCATGTGGCCGACCCCGGGCTAGGGCGGGCTGAGACCCGAGCCAGCTCCCGTCCCGGCGGCCCTCCCAGCCGCGGGGGGCAGAGGCCTCTGAGGCAAGAGTTCCGGCCCGGAGGTGCTGGGTTCCCAGGAGCAGGCCCCTTGGCCCCTCTCTGCCCCCTGCCTTATCGCAGCCTTGCCATGCGGGCTGGCCAGGCCCTCATCCAAACCCTCCGCACCCCAGACGGGGAGACCAAGGCCACAGAGGAGCGAGCCGCCTGAGGTCACGGTCAGCGCCTGAGCACACACCCCAAGCCTGGCTGCCTGGGGTCCGCCTGGGACGCGCTCCTGGGCGTTTCTGGGGCCAGCCGGTGGGCACAGACTGCCCATTGCTGTATGACCGGGTCACCCTCCCCTGCCCTCTGCCTCCCGCCAGTCTTGGCCCCGCGGGGCGGCTCTCAGACCGCTCCCATGAGGCCCACACAGCAGCTCTGGACACAGGCACTCACGTGTCCACTGTCCCTGGATACCCGTCCCCCAGGGTCCTTCCTTTGTCCCACTTCCTCTTCCCCGAGGGCCCCCACCTGTGGGTGGGGGAGCAGCTGGCGTGCGGCTCCCGCCCAGGCCTCCAGGCACTGGAGGTGGAAAACAGACCGACCGTCCCCAGAGCGCGCCATGGCCCCTCCCGCCCGAGTGTCCCCTGGCCCGGCTCACACCCGTGGGGGCGTCTCCCCCAGCAGCCTCCCCCCTGAAGGGCGGGGGAGAGCGCCCGCCTCCCAGGGGCCCTCGTAGGACAGAGCAGGGCGGATAGCCGCATGTCTGACTCGTGCTTCGTGCTCCGTAGATTCTCACCACGATCACTACTGTCACGAGGGAAACGGGCACGGCTCTCACCTAATGTCCCCTCTGGGGCTCACCTGGAGATTCGGGGTGCCAATGTGTCTCCCTCTCCAAAGCACAAGCATTGAAATAAACATTAGTGCCCCAAACAGGAAGGCGACACTTGACCCAGAGGAGACCCAGAGGTGACCCACTAGTGGTGGGGTTTCGAGGAGCAAGAACAAGGGACCACGGAGCACGTCCTAATGTCGGCAGACAGGGCACGGGGACGTCAAAGTGCTTTACTACCGGGAATTCACAAATGTGTGGACAGCACGCACCAGTGAGAATTCCACATCTTGGGGGGGGTGGGCAGAGGGGGTGCCCAGGCCTCAGAGCCAGGGACAGGGACAGAGCCCTTGGCCCACTGTCCACACAGCTTCACATTGGGGGAGTCGGGGGAGAAGGGGACCAGGCGGGGCCGGGGGGCAGCCCAGCTATGGGTTTTGGAGAAAGACTGCATAGCTCGTGACACCTTGTCTTCCTTCCCTTTTCGCTTTGCCCTGGGCCGTCAGGACGCCGGCCCAGCACTTGGGGCACGTCCGTATCCCCTGCCCCGTGAGGTCTCTGCCTCCCCCTCCCAGCGGGGCAATTTCTGAAAGGGAGAGGACCGCGGTCCGGGGGGCTCGGGGGCACAGACGGAGGGCGTGTGGCGGGGCCCGGGAAGGGCCCTGCTCCCCACACCCGCCTTCCCTGGTTACGGATTTTTTGCTGAAAGGGCCAAGAAAATGTTGGTGGGTCTAGCCCCAGAGGCCGCAGCCTCTTTTATGGACAGCTCGGAGGTCACACTCGTGCAGACAGCAGACCCAGGTGGTTGGCCTTGGGGCCCCTGTGCCCTCGGCAGTGTCCTCAGATCCGGATGTGGAAGGTGCTGGAAAGAGAGGAAGGGTCCCTCAGCAGAAAGCCCACTGGCCGCTGGCCCAGGGCGCAGTCCCCTACGAGGATGCGGAGGACACAGCTGCCCTCCTTTTGTTGCGGGAGGGCGGGCGGTGGGCCCAGCCGTCCCGGGAACCCCAGGCCCAGCCGTGGGGCCGCACCTGAGGAAGTCGGGGGCCTTGGCAATCATGTCCTCAAAGTCTGCGAAGCCCAGTTTGCCGTCGCCGTCCAGGTCGGCCTCCTCGATGACCTTTTCACACACGAGCACCACCTCATCTTCGTCCAGCTCCGACTTGGTGAGCCGTGCCAGTGTGCGCTCCAGGTCCTCCTTACAGATGAAGTTGTCCGTGTTGAAGTCTGCGAGCAGAGACACGGCGTGCTCAGGCCGCGGCTCCCCCCGACATCCTGCCCCCGGTGCCCAGGCCCAGGATGAACAGCACATCCGACAAGCCAACACTCACCCCCGTAAGACCCCGCTATGGTCACAGGTCCAAACCTGGCCCTCCTGGCCACACCCCGCGGTGGGCCCTGTGTTCCCTCTGGAGGGGAGGAAACTGAGGCCCAGGAGGCCAAGCCACTGAATCAAGGTCAGAGGCCTGCTCGGAGGGGGAGCCAGGACGCTGACCGGGCCTGTTCGCCACTAAGCACTCACCCCCCATGGCCATGTTCTCTCAACTGCACCACGCGGCCTCCCACAGGCCCCCCACCAGGCACGGTGGTGGTCAGGAGACTCGGAAGCCCTCGGAAGGAGGCCCAGGCCGGTCTCTGTGCAGAGAACAGCTGCGTGGTTTGATTCCACTTGGCAGAAGGCACTACACTGCCCACAGCACAGCCACGTGGCTCGCGGCAGTGACCACGACACCCTGCCCACTGCTTGCAGCTTGGCTCCCAGATCTTCGCCTCTCCCACCCGCCTGGCCAGCAAATTCCCATTTGTCCTCCAAGTTTCAGATCAAACACCACCTTCAGAGGGCTTTCTAGACCTCCGCCCCCCCGCCGCTGAGCCCCCATGGCTGGCCACACCCTGACACGCATGGGAGTGATGGAGAGCCTGGCGGCCAGTCGAACCGCACGTGCTCTGCCTCACGGCACCGCCTACACAAGCCGATCAGTAGGTCCAGGTTCATACACAGATGAAGAAACAGGGTCCTGCAGAGGCACGTGGCCCGAAGGGACAGCCCCAGTCAGGGCTGGACCCCAGAGCCCAGCCCCTTGACAGGTACCTGCACAGCCCACCTCGGCATCGGCCTGCGGATGCCTCTGGGACAGGCCCGGGTGGGATTCACCTCCACCCCCGCAGGGGCCGCCAGGAAGCTTTGCGGAGATGTGCTGGCTGAATGGTTGGCTGGATTCCTGGGCCCCTTTGATGGGAAGGAGCTGAGGCCCAGGAAGGGGGTGACCCTTGCTGCAAGTCAGGCCGCGACTCTCCCCAGCACCAAACCCTGTGTCCCAGTTGCCTTTCCCACTGTTCCACAGCTGGGGCAGCAGGGCGCCTGGTGCCCCCATGCCCCTCGCTGGCAGATGACGGCCTGCCCCACGCGCAATGCCCCACATGCACGATGCCCCACGTGCGATGCCAGGGGTCTGAGGCTAGAGGGTGATGGGTGCAGTGGGGTGCAGCTCGTGGAGGGTGGGTCTGCTGCTACCATCCCTGATGCACACACACAAGGAAGTGCCGCGTGTGCCCAGACCAGGCCTCCGAAAGCGGCATAGCCGCTACAAAATGAAACAGCCGGAGAGGCCCGGGGCCACGGGCTGGTCAGAGGTGCTGGGACAAGCAGGTCTGAGTGGCTCTTCTGCTAGCACCGGCCCAGCCCTCCCTGGAACTCAAGTGTCCCCACGGGAGGGGAGGCCAGCCACGTGAAGTTCTCTCCTCTGGGGCCGGCGTGACCGTGGCCCTGGGAGGCCCGCTGCCCGGCCCAGGTGCCCTCTCCAGCCCCCAGCCTCTGGCTCATGCGTCCAGACCCGGAACTGCCCTGCCCCACCCGGAGCCCCGGGCACCTGGTCCGAGCTCCTCGGCAGGCTCCTCGCAGCCTGACCTGCGACCTCCCTGGGCTCACAGCGCCGGTGTCTCGCCTCGTGGAAGCCTGGCACCTCCTTGCTGCGCTGTCCACGGGGCACGCCTGCCCCCACTGTGGTGTCCACGGACCCCCCCGCCCCACTCCCAGGACCCCCCGCAGGTGCCCTCCAGGCCCCTACCGTAGATCTTGAAGGCATAGTTTGCCTTGAGCTCCCGGGGAGCCGACTCACACAGCACGGAGAACATGTCCACAAAGTCGTTGAAGGTGAGGTTCCCCTCGCCGTCCTCAGAAAAAGCCTCCACGATCCTTTCCTTGAAGGGGTTCTCCTGCAGGAAACAGGCACAGCGGTCGCATGGGTGCAGGGTGACCGAAGGCACGGGAGAGAGGCCTCGGACGCTGACGAGTGAGCTAAGCCCTCTGAGTCCCCACGGCCCGCCTGCACAGCGGGAACGAGAGCTGGGCCTGCCTGGCTGGGGGGAGGGGGAGAGGGAGGGGACGGCTGGGGGGCATGAGGCCAGGCGCGGGGCTCCTCGGTTGCGAGCAGAGCTGGCGGGGCCAAGGTGCGCTCACGACGGGCACTGCCCCGTCTCAGGCAGGGCACCACCCCGCTGCCCAGCGGGCTCATGGGCAGCTCTGGGCTAAGCCGGGTCATGCCAGGGTCGTGGGAGGCAGAAGTGGGGCCCCCAAGGCTTGGAGAAAGGGGCCGGGACAAGCAGCAAGACTCAGAGGGCCAGTCAGAGCCCAGGCCATCATCACCCGCTCGGGGCCTCCTGCTCCGGCAGCTGCACCCCCGACTTCATCCTCTCGGGGCTCACTCTTCCTAGAGTCCCCACCCTAACTGGACTTGGCCACCCCCACTCCGTGCTGAGCCAAGGAGGCTCAGAAACCACCCATGTGGCGACTGCCAGAGGGCTCCATGCCCCTGCATCGACCTCCGGGCCGCGGCTCAGGCCCTTCTCTAGGCTGGCGGGCATGTGCCAGGGCCAAGCCTGGGCCTCACTGTCGCTGGGGACGGAGGTCAAACCGGGACGTGGGTCAGAAAGGATGCCACGTGGTGCCCTGACCCCAAGTCACACATCCAAGGCTTCGCGAGGGGCTCCTGGCCAAGTCCCACAGCGGGATGCAGTTGTGCCCTGAACGCCAGCCTCCCTTACCCCTGGCGGGCACTGGATGCATTGTGGGCAAGGAACTCATGAAATGAAACTTTCCTGTCGAACATACATGTGCTGCGAGGTCCAGCAGCTTCAGCTGTAAAACAATCTCGGCCCCCTCCACCCAGACCTGCTCGGGACCTGCTGACCCCGAGCGGCATTCTGACAAGATCGGCAGGTCTGAGAAGGGTTGGTGGGGATGGCCTGAGGTGAGAGGCGAAAGCCAGACAAGGTGGAGACAGAGAATCATCTGAAAAGGCAGACACAAGCGGGTGCCTGGGGGGCTCGGTCAGTTCAGTGTGGGACTCTTGGACTTGGCTCGGGTCATGATCTCAGGGTCACGGGATCGAGCCCCACGTCGGGCTCCATGCTTAGCATCTTCTTGGCCCTCTCCCTCTGCTCCTCCCCCCTATTTGCTCTCTCCCTCTCAAGTAAATAAAATCTTAAAAAAAAAAAAAAAGCAGACAAGTCCCGCCACGCAGAGCCAACTGGCCGTTCCACAAAGGGGCGAACGGGTGAGCACAGCCCCTCAGGCAGCCCCCACAGCGCAGCTCACGTGTTCAGAGAGCGCAGGGGAGCGAGCAGGCACAGACAGGTTCAGTGAGCCTCGGAGGGTGGAGCTGGCCTCAACCCGGGTCTGGGGCGTCTGCTGCCAGCCCGCCAGCCCACCTGCCCGGCAGCAGCGGCCTCTCTCGTACCCGGAGCTCCGGCATCTGGATGATGAGGCTCATGGGCACGTGGACGATGGGACTCTTCCTGTAGTCCATGGGGACGAGGTTGGGGGCCAGCTCGTAGAACCGTGCGTGGAGCCTGCGAGGGAGGCAGAGGGGAAGGGCTGGAGGGGGTGCACCCCCGGAGCCCCCAGCTGCCGATGCTGCCCCACCTACACCCCGGCCCCCTACACAGCACCCCCTACCCTGCGCCCTTGCTCTGCCCACAGGGTGTGGGACCTGTGAGGGAGGCCGCTTCTGCCCAGACCCCCGTGCCAATAACCAGGTCGTGTCCTGGCCCTTTGCACCACCCCACCAGGCCGGCCCCCAGCTGCAGGGGTCTGCAACCAGACCTCTTGTGTTCCCCTTTGGGCTCCCATAAGGGCCTTCTATGCACTAGGCATGTCACCTCATTTAATTCTCCCCGCGGCTGTGCAGATACACGGCGGCCCCCACTCACAGCTCAGCAAACTGAGGCCTGAGGAGGTTAAGAGCCATTTGTCTAGGACCACACAACTACAGCTATTGGGGTTCATGGCGGGAGCAAAGGCCTGAAGTCCAGAGCAGGAGCTCTTCACCACTCTGCCCAGTCCTAAGGCTGCCGAAGCCCGGGCTGTCTGCTGCCCCGTCCCCAAGCCGGGCTCCGAGGGTGGGGTCTCTGGAAGAGCTACCAGCCACCCCCGCCCCCACTCACACCCACAGGAAGCCCCTGTGGACGGCCCCCGGACCCTGGGCCAGGTCCCCAGCCCCTCCCACCTCTCTGGGCGCCCAGCGCTCGGGCGGAGGCCGTCCCGGTAATCCAGGCCTCTTCTGCCCGTGTCCCTGTGACCACACCCCTAACAGCCCATACAAGAGCGCCAACTCCCAGCCCCAGACAAGTTCAACTTAGGAGGGGCATGGAGCAGGGGCTGAGGCGGGTTCCCGGCCCATGGTGAGGCACCAGGTGAGGCCCAGGACTGTCGGGGATGGCATCAAAGTGGCCCCAGAGCTCTGGGCCCCACCTGCCCTGCTCCCCCAAGGCCTCGTCTTCTTGCAAGTGGCCAACCCTGTGGCAGGCCCGTCAGCACAGCCACCCAGCCTTCTCCAGCAGAGCGTGGAGGTACGTGCCTGGCTCACACAGGTGATAACAGCCCCTTCTACTGAGTGCTCACTCTGTGCCTGACTCTGGGTCAGTCCCCCGTGTGGGCGACTCAGTGTCACCCCCACACCACCCTGAGATGCAGGTGTCACCCTCTCCACTGTTTCAGGGCAGGAAACGGAGGCTCCAAGGGTTAAGTGCCTGCCCCAGCACACCAGCCAGTGAGTGGTGGAGCTGGGACTCGAACCCAAGGCCCTCCGGGTTCCAACCATTTGGCTCCTCCCAGCCATGGGCACCTGGCTCAGAGCAACGTGCCATGAGCCCACTCGGCCGGCCACAAATTCTCGTAAACGTCCTGAAATCACAAGGAAGCTCTGTGGCTTAGAAACACAGAGCTGGAGGGGAAACAAGTGGAAGCCCGTGTGCTGGGTGGGAGCGGGTGAACAGAGCCCGGCGTGACGGGACCAAGCAGGACTCCCCACCAGGGGGCAGTCAAGGGCGTCCTTTGCTCTTGCTTTCTGCGTTACTGTCCCCAAACACGGAACACAACCGGGCCTCCATATCACAATTTATGCGACCGCTGTTGTGTACTTGACGGGTGTGTTCAACCTCCAACTGTTACACTGCCCCCCCGACCTGATGCTGCATGCTCCTGGGCATCGCCCGACCCCTCCAAGGTCCCGTGGGGTCAAGTCAGGTGGTGGCTGAGCCCGCACCTCGCTCAGTGGTGGGCTGACCCACGGGCAAATCAACTTCCCTTCCCCCTACTGTCCTCACGTGTGGGGGTCCAAGAGGGTGGTGCTACAAAAGCGACCCGGCCCTCAGCTGCCCGCCCGTCAGGGGCACCTCGCCAGGGGGGACTGGGGAGAGGGGTGCAGGGCTGGCAGGCTGGCGTGTCCCTGGGGTGGGGAGGCCAACTTCTGCCCTGACTCTAGGACCAAGTGACATGACCATGTTTTTTTCTTTTTAGGAAAACTCGAAGAGAATTTGGAAGTTTGAATCACTGTGGGAGAAACTCCAAACAAGGAGCTGCACCCCTGCTACCCTCTCCCAGTGCAGCGCCCCTCTGAGTTCACGGAGGCCATCGGTTCCGCCATCGGTTCCGCCATCGGTCCTGGGAGCAGGCTGACCCCTGTGCTGCGGGGCCTGTTCCAGAGCATGGGGCAGACAGTTAAGACCCTGCCAGCTGAACCCAACGCAGCACCCAGACCAGACCGACAGCTACACACACACATTGGGGATCTTATATAACATCAGGTCCAACGGCACCGGAAAGTGAGTGCATTCAGACCTCGTAGGATTTCCACCAGGAATACACGCATGTTTGAAAATTTGTGACTACATGTCATATCAATAGGTAAAAAAAATATTTTTATTAACTTGGTAGCTGCATTTATGACGGGATGGTTGTAATAACACAGGAAAAACCCCCCAAAAGTATGCACGCCCTACTTACACTGATGGCGCCTGCAAGCTGGGGGCAGACAGGAGTGAGGAGAGGGGCTGGCTGCCACTTCCTCCTTCACCCACTGCCCAACCGCTTGCATTTTTGGAGTATTTATTAACAGAAATAAGTATTTTTAAAGTATTAACTTTTATCAGTCATAAAGCTTAAAATCCTTAGTAGAACAGAAACAAAAGGCTGCTGTACCCCACACCAATGGCCAGCACCACACTTAAACAGACCTAGCAGGGACCCCAGCAACGCGGGACGCCTGAGAGCACTGGGCACCATGGCCAGTGAGGAAAACGGGCGGTGTAGGGAAATGTTGGAAAGGAGGGGGCAAACTGTTTGCCAAAACCAAACTTAAGCAGCTTAAAACCATCTGAATGAGAAAGGGCTCGGCAGCCCTTCTGCATGAGACAGTTTTCTACGCACCAGCATCAGCCACCAAGATGCCCCAGAACAACAAAGTATAAAATAAACTCCAAGTGTGTAAGCAGATAGGGAACGTTCAGGTCGTGGGGTAAGTGCCTTTATTTTCCTGACTGGAACCCCGCAGTGGCTTCACTTCTGTGCACAACGAACACAACCTTCACCACAACCTGCAACAGGTTCATTTGAGAACTTGCCGACCTGACTCAGAAGTCCGTGTGGCAGAGTAAAGGCAGGACAGTGGGGACAGCCCTGAGGCAAGAGCCTCTGGAGTGTCTGCCCCTCGGCTGTGGAAACAGTTGGAAGGAACAGCAGGTCACCTTGGGGCGCAGACGAGGCGCACATGTAAGGGAGGGTGGTCCGTGACAGAGCACTGGAAATCACCGGGAGGAATGGATTCTTCTGGAAGTGGCGCACTGGTTGGCAGTCCACATTTGGGCCTACCCTGCGCGTAACAATAATTAAATTAAAACAGTAATCCAACCTGTAGTTGCCAAAACGTACAAATTAAAACACTGCAAGAAGAAGCTGGATCTGCCCAAGGCAACAAGCCACCGGAGCAGTTCCCGCAGGACCCACTGATGGGGGCTCCATTATTTACAGCGCGTGTGGCCCGACTGGGACCATCAGTGAACAATCGGGGGACAGAAGACAATGATACAACAGCCAGCGTGATGGGGTGCTGGCGGTGTGGACGCAGGCAGGGGAGCGTCAGCAGTAAAAATCAAAAGCCTTAGGGCGCCTGGGTGGCTCAGTTGGTTAAGCGACTGCCTTCGGCTCAGGTCATGATCCTGGAGTCCCGGGATCGAGTCCCACATCGGGCTCCCTGCTCAGCAGGGAGTCTGCTTCTCCCTCTGACCCTCTTCCCTCTCGTGCTTTCTATCTCTCATTCTCTCTCTCTCTCAAATAAATAAATAAAATCTTAAAAAAAAAATCAAAAGCCTTAAATATGTCTATCCCTTTGATCCAGAAACCTGTTGGAAATGCATCCCAAAGAAATGATCCCAGGGGCGCCCGGGTGGCTCAGTCGTTAAGCGTCTGCCTTCGGCTCAGGTCATGATCCCAGAGTCCTGGGATCGAGCCCCGCGTTGGGCTCCCTGCTCCGCGGGAAGCCGCTTCTCCCTCTCCCGCTCCCCCTGCGTGTGTTCCCTCTCTCTCTGTCAAACAAATAAACAAAATCTTAAAAAAAAAGAAAGAAAGAAAGAAAGAACTGGTCCCAGAGCTGTGGGTTCCGTTCGCTGCAGCACTAACTCTAACAGTGGTGTGAACACCTGTGTGTCCAACTTCGTGAACTAAGGACGTGGCGAGATCCTTTTTCTCATCTATTATTACAGTTTGCCTAAGGAAGAGCAATTTTAAGCAAATTATAAAGCAACATGATACGAATTTTTGATAAACACACACAAAGGAACAATACTGGCCTGACAGATGGCACAAGGCTCTATACACAGAAAGAGTCATGGTCATGACTCCGAGGGGCTGCTTACAGCTCGGGTTTTGTCTTCTCTTGACTGGCTCTGTTTTCGAACTTTTCGGTGCCATCATGTGTCACAGAACATAAAACATCTAAAGTAACTAAAGCAGACCATACAGAGTCTGTCCAAGGCGGAGAAGCTACGGCACGATCATGTGCAGGCAAGCACCCCGGGGCGCCCCGTACTGCGGAGACAGGCTCACAGGGCAGAGGGCAGTCAGAGCGCATCCTCATGCCTGCGGGAAGAGAGCTGGAGCGGCGCTGCCTGCTCAGGCTCAGTGTGGGGGTGGGAGAGCTGGGCCCTGGGTCCATCGGGGTTGCGGGCCGGGGCGGGACCTGCCCAGAGGTTATCTATGAGCCATGGCTGCCAGAGGGCTGGGCCCCAGGCTGCAGACAACCACTGCTCCTCAGGTTACCTCCCTGCCATCTGGTCAGTACTCGGGGTGCAGCTCAGCGGGTGTGGTGGGCCCGGGGGGAGTGGCACTGGAAGGCCCTTGGGAGGAGGGCCCTGGCTCTGGGGCCTCACTTTGCTGCCGACCTGCTGTGTGCACTGCTGAGCTGGTCCTTGCTCCTTGCCCTCTCTGGGGTCCAGCCTCAGGTGCCCTGCCTGGCCCTGATGTTTGACCAGTGGAGAGGGCCCCCCTGGCAAGGGTGGTTGGGCCCTGGTACATCCCGCTGGCCCTTGCTGGGGCCCAGAGAGAAGGCTGGACAAAAGTGAAGGGGCCAAAACCGGAACAGAGCTATCGTGGTTTCTCCAGAGACAATGATCCCACGTGCTGCCTGGTCTCACCACACTTCCTGCAGGCACGTGGGTGGGCCACAAAGCCACAGGCAGCCCTGTGTTGTGCTGACCACCACAGTTGCCCTTCCCTCCCAGCCACAGGGGCCCGGGGGGGCGGGGGCGACCACTCCAGGGAGCACTGCCATCTCCACAGTGCTCCAGAGCAGACCCCAGGGCTCCTGCGCCCGTGGGACTCTATGCCGTCTTCCTCCTGACAAGACCAGGCTGCAGAAGCAGCACTGTGAGTGCGAACACCCAGTGAGTGCGAACACCCCAGCGAGTGTGAATATGCAGTGAGAACACTCCAGTGAGTGTGAACACCCAGTGAGAACACCCAGTGATTGCAAACACCCAGTGAGTGCGAACACCCCAGTGGGTGTGAACATGCATTGAGAACACCCCAGTGAGTGTGAACACCCAGCGAGTGTGAACATAGTGAGAACATCCAGTGAGTGCAAACACCCCAGTGAGTGCAAACACGCAGTGAGTGCAAATACCCAGCGAGTGTGAACACACAGCGAGAACACCCCAGTGAGTGTGAACACCCAGCGAGTGTGAACATGCAGTGAGAACACCGCAGTGTGAGTGTGAACACCCAGTGAGTGCAAACACCCCAGTGTGAACACCCAGCGAGTGAGAACACTGAGTGCGAACACCCGAGTGAGAACACCCAGTGAGAACACACCAGTGACTGTGAACACGCAGTGAGAACACCCAGTGAGTGCGAACACCCCAGTGAGTAAGAACACTGAGTGCGAAAACCCGAGTGAGAACACCCAGTGAGAGCGAACACACCAGTGACTGTGAACACGCAGTGAGAACACCCAGTGAGTGCGAACATCCCAGTGAGTTGAACACCCAGTGAGTGCAAACACCCCGCGAATGTGAACATGCGAGTGGGAACACCCAGTGAATGTGAACACCCCATTGAGTGCAAACACCCCAGGGAGTGCACACACCGAGTACAAACACCCCATGAGTGCGAACACCCCCAGTGAGTGTGAACACTGTGGCAGAGCTGAATGAACCAGGGCAAGCCACATCAGGAAGGGCCATCCAGCTGTCGGAGGGTGGGGTTGGGGGGTCCTCTCCCCATTTGCACCCCAGGCCCAGCCTGGGCTTGGGTGGAGCTACAGCGGCTGGGGTGCTGAAGGGTTCAGAGGGCTCAGAGTTGGGCAGACCAGGGCTGTGGATGGGGAGGTTCCCCCATCTGCCAAGGGACAAGGGACAACCCCAAAGACCTACCAGGTTTAGTCTAATCCCTGGCCTGGCCTTTGTGCCACCCTGTCCCCACGGGCAGCCTCGCTGCTCCCAGAAGACAACTGGAGGTAGGGGTGGGGTGAAGCAGGCCTGTGTCCTTGGCCCTGCTGCTCCGAGCTGGGAATGTTCTCTCAGGGCAACTCGATGGGTCCTCAGCCACGTGATCTTCCGGCGCTCACTGGGGGCTAACACGTACTGCGCCCAGTGACAGTGCAGGGAACCTGGGTCCTGGCAAACTGCAACTTTGCAAGGAGCCGAGCACCTGAGCCTGCGGGACACTAGGAGAGCAGCGGCAGGAGTGCAGGGCTGGCGGGGTTGGAGGGCGCTCACGGAGCAGGTAGCAGTGGGTGTGAACGGGGTGCAGGAATGTGGTGAGCGGAGGAGGTGGAGAAGCGGCTGCCAGGCGGCGGGGACAAGCTCTTGCTGCCAGAGCAGAAACGGCCACAGGCCTCCAAAGCCCAGCGGCCTGGGTGTGGCCACCGCAGTGGTGGGGGCTCCCCACACAGAGAAGAGATGCGACGAGGCTTCCGGGAGGGTCCGTGCCAAGAGCCCTGAAAGGGGAGACGTGCCACAGCGACGCCACCAGCAACGGCTACTGTCGCATTTCTGAGCACCATCCTGTCCAGACGGGGACCCCCCCCCCATGCATCACTTAAGCCACAGACCAAATCCCGTGTTCCAAACACCACGGCCTGGTATTCCTGCCCGTCAGCCACGCGGCGAGGCACACATCATGGTCTCCACTTTACAGGAGAGATGGAGGCTCAACGATGCTCCCAGCTTGCCCAAGGCCACAGAGCCGGCAAGTGCGAGTAGCCCCGGTCTGCGGATGCCACGGCCTGGGGCCTGTGCCCCCACCCTGCCTCTCCAGGGTGGTGGACGTGGGTGTCCCCGGCTACCCAGTGGGCAGGCTGGAAGAGCAGCCTGGGCAGAGGAGAAAGGACACTGCCCGTCTGAACAGAGTGGTCAGGACAGTGACAAAGCATAGTGCACGAGCCCGGGAAGCTGTTCCAGGCTCTACCCCAGCCTGCCTGTCAACCTCCAGGGGAAGCAGTCCCGTGACCCTGCCAGCTTTTAATGCCACCTGAAAGCTGGGGCCAGGCTTCCTGGCTCACTGTCTGGTCCTGGGGCTCTAAGCTGCCAACCCCCCTTCATCTCTTCCATCAAAGCCCAAAGAAAGGGGTTGTCCTGGAAAGGGAAGAGTGCCTAGTGGGCAGCTCAGGGGTGGTGTGGGCATGCAGGCCATGGCCCTGACTTCTGGACCTCCCAGGAGCAGGAGGGCATCGGAGCTGGAGCCAGAGGGCCTTGAAGGACCGCTAGTCTACCAGACAGGGAGCCCCTAGTCCTGACAGATCCCAGGACACGGTGACAGCAAGGGGCCTGTAGTCAGAGGCCAGGTCTTCCATGACTCTGGCCAACAGCTAAGCCCCACCTGCAAAGTGGGGATAAAAGGGTTCTCCTGTTACAAGGTCACAGTGAGGATTAAATGAGTGTCTGAAACCACCCACCACAGCGCCTGGCGCCCAGGACGGAGAGGCCCAATTCCTGGCAGAGGGATGTGGGGGGGGGGGGGGGCACGCTCTCAAGTTCATGGCGGCCTGTGCTCGCGGATGCTCTTCCTCAGTTCCAGCTGGTGCACCCAGCCCAGGCGGGGGGTCCCAGCCCCTGCCCCCGCCCCAGCTCTGAAGGGTGAACAGAAGCCACTTACTTGAGGATGTCCTTCTTATTGAAGAAGGTGCAGTCCTGCAAAGGGAAAACACACACATAGTCCCTTACAAGTCCCTGGCTCCTTTATCCCTGAGGACCTCACAGAAGACTCACTCCTGCCCCCCCATCCTGCCCCCACCCGCCCATCACCCCGCCCGCACCCTGCCCCTGGCCAAGAGCCACTGCTTCCTGAAGCTTCTGACCTGGCCTGGGGACTGTGTGCATGGTGGTTGGGGAGGGCATTTACAGGCAGATGGAGAGGTCAGAGGTGGATGCCACTGTGGACTGCCCTGCGGCACAAGGGCTGCAGGGATGTGCCATCCACACTGCGTGCCGGGTGGCACTGGGGGCTGTGTGTGCGGGTGGCTGTGCGCAGAGACAGAGAGCCCCAGGTCCACAGGCTGGGGAACACCTGCATCTACCTGGCTTCTGAAGCCACAGGCCCAGATGAGGTCACACGGGGAGGCCGTGGAGGCTGGGAGTGTGGGGCAGGCGGGCAGGGAGTGACTGGCGGCATCTGGCCAGAGGAAGGGCGGAGGCTGCTAGGGACCCTCAGGCAGGTGTTTCTCAGGGTGGGGGCAGCATGCAGGGCCTAAGGTCGCCCGGTCATAAACTCATCTCAGATGTCCTGCCCTTGTCTGGATGGCCCGCCTGGTGATGTGCCTGCAATGCCAGGCCACAGTGGGAAGTATGGAGGCGAAAAGATCCCAGCAGCGGAAGGCTTTTGTGCTCATCCCTGCTGTCTGGCCCCCCTGCCTTTGCCCACTGCAGCCGCATGAGAGCAGGAGGCACCTTAGGCTCTGCAGAGCCCGAGCCTCCTGGGGCAGTGTGCTGAGCAGAGCCAGCCCTGAAGAGTACTCGCGGCTGCTGCCCTGGACAGGACCTGAAGCCACCGCACACCGGGGCAGCTGGACTGCACACCGAGAGAAGGTCCTCTCTCTGAACACCAAAAAGCTGCTGTGAACGGGCTCATCAACTGATGGTTTGTTACAGCTGGACCGCACACTGAGGAGGGTCCCACCTGTGGGAGACCTGAGGAGGGGGAGCCGGACCCATGTAGTCAGTCTGTCCTTCTGAGCCACATGCTGCTACCCAGGAGTTGGATTAAGAGCCCTCACATGGCCCTGGCCTTCTAGGAACCTAGGGGCTTCTCCTGGAGGGCTAGGCTTTGCTTTAGGCCATAGCTCCTCTGCCCCACCTCCCCCCCAGCATGGACAGAGAACGCTCTGCCCTGCAGGCCTAAGACTCAGGTGGCAATTGTGTGGACTGATTTCCTCAAGTCCCCAGATCCCTGGAGCAGGCCCCAAAGGCAGCCCAGCTGAGTCTTCCCGGTACAGACCTCCCTCGGCCCCAGGGCTGGCTCTATGGCCTGAAGGTGCTCAGTGAGAAGGGCCAGGGTCTCCCACCCAGCCTGGTGGGGGTATCAGCATTACCACCAATGGGGAGAGGCCCTGGCTTCTGCTCTCTGTCCCCCTGGCCTATCCTCGCTTCCTCTCCTCTCTCTTCTGCCCTGGGTTAAAAAGTATCTGGGTCCTGACCAAGGGTCCTACAAACAAAGATGCAAAAGTTTCTCACATGACCCTGGTCCCTTATCAAAACCACTTACATCTGTCCACATCAATGGTCCTCAAGACGTGGTTCCTGGACGGCCAGCACCTGATTCTCAGGCTCCACTCCAGGCCTAATGCATCACAAACTCTGGGGGTGGGGGCCAGGAATCTGCGTCTTTAGATCTGCCACCTCCAGTGATGCAGATGCTTGCTAAAGTGAGGGCCTCGGCTGTAGGGCAGAATCACCTGGGGAGCTGTTTAAACCTCCTGTGCCTTCTACCAGCAGCCCCAGCCCCAGCACAAAACAGATCCATTAAAGCAGAATCCCTGAGTCTGGAGCCAGGAATCAAAGCTACTCTGATGATTGCGACGTACAGCCCAGGCTGAGAACCACACCTTGACCAGGCCTGGTCCGTGGGGGCTCTGATTATCCAATTTTGTTCAGTCCTCATCACTAGCCTATGGAGGGGAGGGGCAGGCAGTATCTCCCCATTCTATAGATGGGAAAACTGAGGCTCAGTGACGCTGGTAGCTTGCTCTTAGCTGCACGTACAGCCCAGAAGGGCTGACTGCAAGCCAGGCTTCTGTAATTCTTGACCATGGTCTGCTGGCTGTGAACAGAGTCCACCCATGGACACTACACATGACCACGTCCTGCTGCTGTTGTGTATTGTGATACCTCGTACACCGTGCATGCTCAATATGAGCAGGTGGCATGAGGAACCAGGCCTCTGCACATAAACCTCCCACAGGCCGCAGAAGGTGTCCGTGAAGACGCTGACCCTGCCTCACCTAATGTTTCTTCTCTGAGCACCAACAAAGCTGCCGTGAACCTGCTCATCAACTGACGGTTTGCTTTTTCTGCTGTTGACTTATTTGCCTGGAGCTCATTGCAGAAAGGTAGCTCATGGGGGATGAATATGGCAGGAACCTTAAAAGCTTCTCAGGGTTCTGAGGAGCCTGCTGGTGTTTTGTAGTCACATTCCCAAATTCTTGTCTTGCTTTGGATCCTTAGGTGGAGATAGAAGAGGGGAGTCCCCAGGTGAGTCATGGGCTTGCTCGTAGTTGAAACTGTGGGCTGCCTGAGCACGAGCAGAGCAGGGCCAGAGCAGCAGTGGTGGGTTCTGGGGAAGGCAGGGAGCCCTGCTTTGCAGACAGAGGGGTCTGGGAGGTGGATCGATTGGTCAGGAAGGCAGAGAAGTCTGGAGAGAAACCTGAACTTGGGAACCACTGGCACCTGCGGAGGGGGGAGGGGGAAAGGGGAGGAGGCTGTAACCGGGGCCCTGGCTGGCGAGGAGGAGCTGGCTGGACAGCAGAGGGAGGGGGACTGGGGCTCTTAGGTTTCCTGTGGATGGGGGGGGCGGTAGGTGGCTGTAACTGGGGCCCTGACTGGCTGGACAGCAGAGGGAGGGGGACTGGGGCTCTCAGGTCTCTTCAGCTCTCATTTCTCCCAGTCTGCTTGGCTCTGGCAGGAGGATCACAACCCAACCCTGGGCTTGGCCCTGAAGTGTAACCCAATGCCGGGCTGGTCTGAGTGGAAACCCAGGCTCCCAGCCCCACAGGGCCACTCTTCACTTCTGAGCATGGTCTACCTGCTTGCCTGTGCCCACGTGGTCCCCTGCCCCTGGAATGCCTCCTTCTGGGCCTGCTCGAGCAGGCCCATCTTTGCACGATCTTTGGTCCTTGCAAAGCAAAAGCCCCCCTTCCCTCCTGGTGTTCCCCGGCCCACTAGGGCCCTCCCCTAGAGCACGCCACACTGGCGGCCTCTCAGAAGGCTGGCCGGCCTCCAAGACCAAGGGCACACACAGGCCGTGCCCCTAAACAAACACAGAGAGCCTTGGGCTTGAGCCCTGACTGGCGCCTCAGCCTTTGTTTACTCCTCCGTGAAATGGGGCTGAAAACCATCCCACCGTGAGGGCCCCCGTTCCAGAGCCTGGGACCACAGCAGGTGCCCCATGACTGTGGCTCCCTGCACTTTCTCAAGGCCTCACGTGGAGCTGACAACTATTAATGACAGTCAGGGTTTCTGAGAAGGGGCCTTTATTTTACCTCTGCCCACATCAGAGGGCTCCCACGTCCAGCCCATTACCAAAATAACTTGGTGAAGGCAGCAGGCGGCCTCGTGGCTCCCACAGCACACTCCACAGGGACCACAGCATAATCAGGGCCCCCGCCCAGGGGAGTGGGGTGACAGGCATCACCTCGGGTCTTGGAGGCAGAAGAATAGCGCGGTTGCTGTAGACAGTCGGGGGTGGCTACAGTGTACGGGGCAGGGAAGGGGCCTAGGAGGCTGGCCAGGGCCCCCGCGGGCCAGGGCTTGGGGCTTCATCCTGCACCCGCGCCCTGCACCCACTGGCGGGAGGGCTTTGGCCCTCTGGTCTGGACAGTTTCGTGGCTCTGGAGGCAGGAGGTCCTAGAAGGGTCTTAGGGGTGGCTGCTGGGGGACTCGGGGACCAGGAGATGTGGACTGGTCTCTGGCCGCCTCCTTGCTCCAAGTGTTTCCATGCTGGGGCCAGGGGGAGATCCCTACGGGTAAACAAGACACTGCCAACTTAGAACTGCATTTGGGGATGCACCTCACTCCCGACCCAGACAGAACCCCACTCTCCTGGGCTGCTTCCTGGGATAGGGGACCCTCCCTCAAGCCGGCGTTTAATGACCCGCCAACTCCGTGCCAAGGTGGGCGCTGGGGCAGGTGGCTGGGGAGGGGGTCGCGTCCAGACTGGGGCCGAGAGCAAGGAGGCTGAAGGCGGGCGCGGCGCGCCGGCGAGTATCTCCCCACTGGAAAGCGCTCTCGACGCAAGGGTGGGGAAACTGAGGCCCAAGGTCACGCTTCGAGCTGAAGGCAGGGGCAGGGTCTGCAGCCGGCACGCGGCGCGGAAAGCATGGGAGGGCGGGCGCCGGCTCACCTGGTAGTTGTCCAGCTGCTCCTCCGTGAAGATGGTCTGCTTGTTGCCCATGGCGGCCGCCGCGCCGTCGCCCGGGCGCCGGAGCCCGAGCTCGCGGCCACCCGGACCCGCCCCGCAGCCCCGCAGCCCCGCGGCCACCAGGAGGCGGGAGCGCGACCCCGCCCCGAGGTGCGGCGCGCCCACCCCGTCAGGGGCCGCCCCTTCCCGCCGCGGGAGGTGCTGCCCGGCCTCTTCCCTCCTCCGGCCGGGCGGGACCGGGACTTCCGGCCGGATGGCGCCAGGACCACCAGATGGGCGGGGCCAGGACCTCAGGCCGGGGGAGCCAAGACTTCCGGCCGGGCGGGGCCTGGACCACCAGCGGGGCGGGGCCAGGACCTCAG